ATTTGTGTAATTTGGTGGACTGCAATAGAGGAATATAATTTCAAAAAATTTATAAAATATTCTAATTGAAAGAACAAAGGCTTCAGTAATAAAATAAAGGCACCAGGATTTGTGGTGACCGTAATTCTGCTCTAAGGCACAGGTGTTGAAATTTTTACACAGAGAGAACAGGTCTTTTTTTCCTCAAAGTCCTTGTTTAAGTACAAAGTTCAATGAGGGAAAACACACAGCAGGTCCTTGAATAAAGTCATTTCATTCAATCTCATTTCATAATAATGTCGATGGGAAAAAAATGATATTCCTGTTGAGGCCACTGTCTGTGTGGAGTTTGCACATTTTGCCCATATTTGGCGAGTTTTCTCCCGAGACTCCAGTTTCCTCCCATATCCCAAAGATGTACATGTTAGGTTCACTAGAGTGTCTAAATGGCCCCATATGGGTGAGTGTGGGGGTGTGTGAGGGAGTGCACTGAGAAGGGATGACGTCCTGTCCAGAGTCTGTTCCCGCCTTGTGTCCTGAGCCACCGGGATAGCTGTGGCTGCCCATGACTCTGAACTGGAATCACTATGCAAACAACCATCATACTTGTTTTTATTAACCTTTCTTAAATGTAGAGCTCATATTTATTTCAGTGTTTAACATTAGAAGTATTTTGGCCTTTATTCAGAAGTTTGGGGATGTTTTTGTTACCAGAAATATGCTGTAGGAGCTTAACTCTTGTTTCTATCAATTAGCCTATGGGAAAATCAATTTCATTACATGTCTTCAAAGTGAAGTTTCCAAGAACCCATTGAGGACATTGAAGACCTAACATTTAGTTCTGGAAATTATCTCATCCATTTGCATTTTAAACTTGCTTATGGGGTTGTCAAGCATTCCTGCAGAGTGGTTGCCTTAGAAATGACCTCAGGAGAAGTAAAAGGAATCCTGTCTTTGTTTCTTCTTCCGCAGTACCTAAGACTGGACACATAATGAATTCTAAAACATATTCTAAAGAGCTCATAAAATTTGTAATCACAAGACCTATTCTAGTCATGGGGCTTTGGACAAATTACCCAGCCTTATTAAATACCTCATTTAATAAATGGGAATAATAGCAATAACACCATTATTCTTTTTAGCATTATTATAAGGATACAATAAAGATAATACATAAAAATGATGTAATATCACTATTATCACAGTAATATTTTTGGTTAGTAAATACATAATTGTGGTTAATAAATCTATAAAGATTGAGTGGGATTTATTCATGACAGGACTAACAATGATAGAATCCCCAAATGACTTGATGAGGCTTACAGCTTTAAAACTAGATTATTCAAGTGGCTAGAGACACCTACAGAAAGCAGCCCAGGGAGATTTTTCAAACTGCGAGAGCAAATCAGTTGATTACAATGGAGCTCAGAAATTTGACTGTAAATTTACTCATAGTTAAGGCAGAAGGGAAGGGCAATGTGTTAGTTGTTATCTGAGACTGAAAGAATAAAGCATGTTTGTTTCTCTTATTTGATTCTTTTAAATGAAGGTATCTTTCTGAGTCCCAAATTATCTGGATAATGACCACTTTTCTACAAAGTCAGATGAACAAATAACTGCTGTTTATACTAGAAGCACATAGAGAGCAAAGGAGACATTTTATGATTAGCCTTTCAAATGCCTACAAAGAAGTTTAAAGAAAATAGTTAAAATATATTGCTTAAATTTCCTCAATACTGTGAAGGATCAGAAAAAAATGATACTTTTTTTTCTACAACTAGACATGCCCAGAACAACCAAAGAAAAGAGATAAATGTTTAAATAGGATGTTGGTAGCTATGAGTGCCTTTGAAGCTTCAAAGTTTTGGTGCATTGATTTATGTAGCTGGTTCTTATTTAATAACCAATTACATTTCCTTGCTCTCAGAAAGCTTGCAAAGTTTCTCATCACTTAATTTTTTTACCACTGCTAAAATGATAATTTTAAAATAAAAAAATTTAAGAACTAAGTAGATCCCATTTCTATAGTCAAGCTTTACTTTGTGATCATTAAGAACTAACCTGAGATATCAATATGAATTAATTTCCAATATGATTGAGAAAAACAATTACTCCTTAAATTATCAAAATCAATCTCGTTTTGCAGAATAGTGGAGTTTTTCTTCCTCCTTGGGTTATTTTTCATACTAATCCTTGGTGGTGGTGGTACTAATAGTGGTAGTAATAATAGTAGTGCTAGACATGTTCATAATTGTAGTAGCTATTTCTTGTTAATTGTAGTTACAACTATAATACTCATAGTAACAGTAAATATTATTTATTTTAATGTTATAATAATAGAAAAACCAAGAACTACAACTATATCTTTTACATATCAACAAATGCTTTCATATTTCTACTTAGTTTTTTGGAGACAATTTGAAATTTCACCTTTGAAAATTGAGATATTATAGGTCTAGAAAACTTTTTCCTGATCAAAGGAAACAGTAGTTATTGGTTCCTGTGATCTGAAAATTGGATTATACGCAGTAAAGTTTAATTTCTTTACAAATCTGTGTAGAAACATTGAGGGACAAGTGTGTGTATATCTATATCTCTCTATATATATCTTATTTATTTATTTAAATACTAACAGTAAGAATTAAGTGCATGAAATTGTCAGTGGTCCTGCATTTTACAACAATGTATTTCTAGGAATTGCTGATGCTTTTCTTACAGAGTTGTTTTAGAGAATGGATTTTGTACTGATTTAAAATTATCTTCCTGCCTTGAATTACTGCCCTCTGTACTCCAAGTTAAGCAGCTTCTTCTATTAGTACTTAGAGAATGTAGAGTAATAACTACCTGGAGCTACTTTCTCTGAAAGAACACTTTCAGAGTTTAATTCAAACATTTTCCTTAAAAGATTGTATCTCTAGAATTTTTGTATCCATTTTAATGATGAAATTATAAAAGAATGCTGGTGAGCTAGGGGAAAAAACACACAAATCAAAGACCCTGAAAAAAATACTCACTTTTCATGTTTATAATTTTAAGGATGTGAAATTGCACGTTGAACATTGAGAGTGTGACTCTGAAAATCTAAAGAGAAATATAATGAAAGCAATGACTCTACCACCATAGTATCTTTTAGAAACTTGAACTGTCTGAAATTGCAAATATACAAAATGCTGCTAAAGAGATCAGGGATTTATTTTGAAAGATAATGCATTGCAAATGAGAAAAAAGTAATGGAGATAAAAATACATGTTGAAGGCTAGGCACAGTGGCTCACGCCTGTTATGCCAGTACTTTGGGAGGCCAAGGCAGCAAGATTGCTTGAGGCCAGGAGTTCAAAACCATCCTGGGGAACATAGTGAGCCCTCTCAGCTCTTAAAAAAAGAAAGAAAGAAAAAAATAATCCAAGAGTAGTGGCATGAGCCTATAGTCGCAGCTACTACTCTGGAGGCTGAGGCAGGAGTGAGCCCAGGAGTGTGAGGGCGCAGTGAGCTATGATGATGCCACTGTACTCTAGCACAGGAGACAAAGAGAGACCGTGTCTAAAACAAATCCAAAAATCATACATACTGAAGATTTTACTAGTTAAAAATATACTTCTTAAGATGAATAGCTAGAGCTCATTTATGCCTTTGATGAAAATTAAAAGGAAGTCAAAGGAAAAAAAAAAACATTACCAAAAGGAAAGAAATTGATTTCAAAGTAAATAACTACAGTTTAATTATGCAAATACTTACCTAGAGATCACAATTTAGAATTCAAAACAATAAAGATTACAACAAAGCTTAACACTTTTTGAGGTTTAAATGCTATACAATTTTGAAAGAATTTTATTTATTTATTTATATTCTTTACTTTTTTTTTTCCTTTTGCTTCAACCCCAGCACATTTACAGAAAGAATTTTATTTTAATCTTGCCTGTTTTATTTTATTAACTGCTGTGAAAATAGAAAAATAATCTATATTGGCCTCAGATATCTAGTTAACTCCTGGTTGCCCAAACATTACAATTGCATTGTCACGAATAATTTACTTTGAATTGTATCTGGTAATATTGTGTGCATGCACTTGCATATTTATTCTTAATTGTGTATTTCTTAGATTAATATTAAAATTAGTTAGCATTCCCTGAACTGACTCTCCTTTCAGGCAGCTAAAGACCTTGGAGGCAAGAAGCCAGTATAGGATTAACAATTTGCCATGGATAATCCACAAAGTCAATAAACCCAGTGTGAATAATTGAAAGTGGGTGAGAGTTGTAACATAGGAGCTATTGAAAGTTAATTCAAAGCCGAAGACCTCAATAGTAAATTCCCTCTCATTATCCAACTGCTAGAATAGGTTGGCATTGATAACTCTCTAAATAGGGAGGCATTTGTGCATTGTCAATGTTTCACCATCTTATCTGCAAACATATAGACTTTGTCTTCTTGATAGTGTGCTAGTATTATAAAGATTTGAGCAATCTGAGAAATGTAAAAACTTTGCCATGGGTGTTTTTCCCCTCTTTCAACTTTGAAAAAAATATATTAAAACATTTCCTGCATTTTAGCATGGGTGGTTTCTAAAATATCCTATGCTGAGATTGCAGTTTAAGAAAATCCAAATAAATATGAAAATTAATTAACTCATAAAAAGGACTTGCATCTTAAGCTAGTGTTAAAATAATAAGGGATTAATAATGGCAAATTGAATATTTGAATTACTTATAGTACTCTATTAGCATTTTTCAGCCTAATAATCTCTTCCAGATAATAGTTACTTCTTCCACAATTAGAATTGCACATATTACAGATTTCTGATTTACCAGTCTGCAAAGTACTACCAAATCATATGAGACTTTGTCACTTAATCCAGACTAAGTATTGTTAGTGAGACACTAAGGCATTAATTATGTTCCTTTTTTTTAAGCTATCATGATGTTTTATTTTCAAAATGTGATGGCAATTAAATTGGAAATATTTTAATTATAATTTTATCTAGGCTTCATTTTCTTAACATATTTCCTATTTTTCTAATTATAGGCTTCATATACACTGGGGAAGTTGTACATCGAATGCTAACAGCCACACAGTACATCGCACCTTTAATGGCAAATTTCGATCCCAGTGTATCCAGAAATTCAACAGTCAGATATTTTGATAATGGTATGTATTTATTAGCCTATTTTTGCTAAATGTATGTTGTTAAACATCCAGCATCAGATATGTTAATGTTTTTGTGAACTTTTTTTTGGTAGACTGAATTTGTAAACTGCTTGGTAGACTGAATTTTTAAACTGCTTGATGCAAATACTCTGAGATGACAAATGTTATACTATTAACTATTAAAATGTAAAGTACACAGTCCAATGTCATTCATTCATTCAACAGATGTTTACTAATATCCATTACATACTATGAGTTTCTGTAGACAACACCTCACACAAAGCAAATGCATTTATTTCATGCTATCTTCAGTAAGTCAATTTTCTAGCTTTTCAATTAGAACAAAACTTAAATAAAAATAATTTTGTTAGTTCTGAACTTCCAGTAGAGTCAAGCGCATTAATATATTGATATTAAATTTCCAAAACTTATAAACTACATGTATCCAAAAGATGAACACAAAGTAAAGTACACATAACAAAATAAAGTTTTCCTGACTTTAAAATATAAAATAGAGCCTCCTAAGATTTATCAAGTGTATTGACAGCAATCTATCCCTACTATCCCTATATGAGAACATATAAAATAGTCAGAGAAAACCCAAAAAATATCATTAAATGCTATTAAAATCCAAGTAGAAAATTCAAGGTCTTGAAGACATAAACGAATTTTCAACTCTAACTTATTAAAAGCTCTAAATTTGGTGAAGGAAAGAAACTATAGGTAACAAAGGGGTTGCATTGGGAAAAATAATTAAAGGTAGAGTGTTCTGTACTCTTTATAATACAGAAATACGTTTTATTTGTTCAAATGACAATTTTATATCTTAAAATAATGGAAGAATTTGGGGTGAATAAAGTTATTTCGACTCTTGTCATATTTCTGATGATCAAGGATGAAATTTATTAGTAGGTGGAATAGACTTCCTAGTGGCTGTAGCTGTGGAGAAATATGATCATTTTGCTAAAAGCAATCTTCTGACTAATGTGATGAAGCCATTTTGCACGTCAAAATAGCAAAAGCAGAAGGAAACAAAACATAGATATTCACCTTTGCAAATACATTTTAATCAATTTGAATAATCCCAAAGTGTGATCCAATATTAAGTAACTCTAAATGTTAGCCATGATAATCATTTCTCTCTACTGTTTTAAGAACCCTTATATTCTATCCTCCCAATTTTTTTAAACTCATGAGGTTCTAACACCAAAGTATGTACAAGTAGATTGTAAGTACAATATACTTAAAGCGAAACTACAGCCAGAAACTTATTCCATGATCTCCCATAGAGAACCACCTTAAGAATCTACCCTAAATAAATAAGAAATGATTTAATAAAAGTAGACAAGAAATGGCCAAGTTTTTGAGTTGTAAGCATCAAAATCATAAAGCATATTAAATAAGTCTCTCTCTTCATATACACCTTCATACACCTTGTTCCTGGGCAGCTCTTTCAGTTTTACTTGTATTTGAGTGTTTTTTAAAAATTAACGTATACTATTCCAACTGGAATCTAAGTTATCTGAAAACAAGGATTGTAGCTATTTATAAGAAATCATTTAATCTCCAGGACCCTGCACAGGTACTTAATAGGCACCTATTATTGAATAATCCATTGAATCTATTGAATAATCTAATAATTATTCAATGAATAATGAAAAAAATTAGTAAGATGAGTTTTTAATTCTGACTATTGTGAAAGTATTAATACTCAAGAATTAATGTATTTTTTACCTATTGAAATATCTTCTGTGTAATGACCCATTACATAGAAATGTAACATTGAGGATTATTGAGTTCCTACAATAGAATGAAAGCTGAATAGTTGCTTATGTTTTATTAAATGAATTAAGCACTTTTAAATATTATAAAGCTCTTCACGAACTCCTTTTTATACTTTAGCAACTTGCTGAAATGTTTTCAATTTTGATTGGTTAGGATCATTGACAGAATGCTTAAGGATTGGAAACTCAACATTTTAGGAAAGCCAAACTTCTCTAGAGAAGACAACAGCAGGTTAGAAAATTTAAATCAATAAATGTGGGGAAAGCTATGCTACTACCGAATATAAAACTTAGCATGTGCAAACTTAGTGTTATTTTAAAAGTTAGTACTTACAGTACATATATTAGGACTATCTTCATCAGAATTTGCATTAAAAACATTTAATTAATTTACATAGAGCTGTCTTTTCCCAAAGAATCTGAATGAACTGTATTTTCTTGTATTTAATGCAAAAATCCCTTGAAGGAGAGAATTATACCTCCCATGTTATAAGAGAGGAAACAGGTTCATGCAGGTTAATTGTGGTCAAGGTAACACAGGTGTTATAGTCTAGGTCTTCCGCCTTCTAGTTCATTGTTTTCCCTGCACCACCAGGGTGTGATAGAGAGTAAGGAAGGAATTCGAGCTTGAGGGTTTTGGACACGTGTAAAGGAAAAAGTTGTTAAGAGGCATTTCATGATCAGAAAAACCCTATACTTGTAAAATTATGGGAAATTTCCTGGCTATTGACTTCTTGCCTTTTTCAATTAAAAAAAATGATAGTATAGTAACAGAGATGCCCGTGGAAGGAAGAGAACTGGGTGGATCTTCTCCCACGGCAATGATAGGTGTTGAGTATTTCCTATGGCCAAAAGCACCAAAGTCAAGATCAAGAACAATTTTTTTTTTACTTCTAAAGTTTTACCTCAAAAAAAAAAATACATTTCTATACTCTAACATTCTTTAAGGATTTACAATTGGGTATTCAGAATACTTGAAGTAACATATCTATTTAAAGTTGTCAATTAGCTCAAAAGATATTACTAATAGCACCAAATTGTTGGTGAAAATTAATTCTGCTATACAATTGTGATTTTTTTAAATGAATTGTTTAAAAAACAGGAGTTGTTTTGTTCTTTTAGCTCTGTGAGTTTTCATTTTCAACACAACTTTTTCTGGCAACAAGATTTTTTTAACCCAGCAGAAAATCCAATATTTAGAGCTAAGCAAATTTTCAGCTGCTCATTTGTTGTCTTTTTTAAAAAAAATTAGAGACCACACAATGTCAGCTAGAACAAAATGAATTCGCACTGGTGACTGTTACACTATATTTTAGTTTTTATTTCGTGTTAATGGTAAACACTGGCAGAGTGTATCATCAGAATATAATATACAGCACTGTATAGTTTCATTCCAATGTACTTTAAGAGGGCTTCAGAAATCTTAGCTCAGGGCCCTTTAAGCTACTTGCAGCCTCCCAGAAGCAATACAACAAAGACATAAATGTAAGCATTGTGAACCAAAAAAAGAAAATTCCCATTAGTGTTAAAGGAACTTCTTCAGTGTGACAGAGGATAATCTAAGTATGGAAAAATTTCAAGTCTTTTTTAAGTGGTTCTGGCTTTTTTGAATGTGTGCCTCTCTCTCTCAGCATTTGTCAAATGTATTTGAAGTTCATTCAACCCACTTGGGCTGCATTTTGAAAGTGGCTCATGGAAATTTAAGAAGACAGGCCCCATTAACATTAATGAAATTCCTAAGGCAAAATTCCCTCACACTGGGTAGCCTCAATATTAACCTCAGTATGAGGTCAGAATTTACCAAATATTTAGAGAATATTCAATCCTTTTTTAAAAATCCCTAGTGCAGTTTCAGTACCAGAATTCCAATTAATCACATACAATTGAAATAGTACAAAGACTAGATTCGAAGACCAGATTCAGGCTTTTACGAAGGCTCCCACCAGAATTGACTGGTATATTTTCTCGTTGCGTTTCTTCTTTTTTCCATGGAATGTATAGGCACAGCACTTGTTGTCCAGTGGGATCATGTACATCTCCAGGATAATTACAACCTAGGAAGCTTCACATTCCAGGCAACCCTCCTCATGGATGGACGTATCATCTTCGGATACAAAGAAGTAAGTGATGTGTTGATCGTTTCTTTTCACCTTGACCTGAGTGCTACCTTTCCTTCAAATGTTATGACATTTTACAGTCATGAACCTCAAATCATTTTCTTGGTTTCTTTTGCTTAAGAAAAAACATTTGGGATTGTTTCAATTTTCTGGGTACATTGTTTGTAAATCCTTTGGATTTTGTTTTGTTTTGTATTCTATTATCGTTGGTATTAGGACCATGAATTTCATCAATTTAATGACTTTCATAAAATTATTGAGTAATTATATTCCAATGGTATTACAGTGAAATGTTTCTAAGAAAAAGGTATTTAAAATTTGGAGGGATTCCTCATCTAAATCTGAATGTTTATATGTTTTTGTTTGGTTAGTTTTTGCCTTGTTGATTTCTATGACATTTTTTGGTTCTAATATCAAAAGCATTAGTAAATATGAAAACCTGTGTGGCTCAATGACCCACTACTGAAAGAGTTCCAGGACAGCTGAGCCTATGATTGCTTTGGCTAATGTTTATTGAAACCTGATAGGGAAAATTAACTAGAGACCTGAGTGATAGTCAGAACAAGGGAATTTAAACTTATGGTTTGTTTCATTTTAACAAATTCACAAAGAATGAAAATTTACTAAATTGTAGCTTTAAATTTACAGAATGTTTAGACTAGAATAATACTGTGTTTGATTTCAAACTCTTTTGACAATGTAATTAAGGTCTATTAGACAAAGAATATAGGATAAAAGTTCCAAGAACTACAGATGTAATGTTTTAGGCAGTCACTAGTTATGAAAGAAATTCTGACAGTGTGAATTAATAATGGGCAGTATTAACCCATGGGTTAATGAGTATTTATAATAATACAGACTCAGCATCTTCTTTTCAACTGAGGGATTGTTTTTTTCTTTAGTAATGAATCCTTGATTATAAAAGAGATGTTAATAATAAAGAAATGATTCATTTTGGTCAAGTCTTCTGAAATCCATTTACCTCATAAAGTGAGAGATAGTTAAATTTCAACCCAATAGGCTAACTTTAAAAAATTCCATAACCATGTCAGATGTTCCTAGTCCTTTAAAAGGTTTTTCCCTGTGGAATTTCTCACTTACTTGGAGACAATCATGGTCTGTGTTTCTTTACCCATAGCTATGTTTTGATATCATAGCCCACGATACTCTCATATCACAGTCCCTAGAATCTGAGAGAATATTTATCAAAAGGATTCATTCATTTCTGGTTTTCATTGTAATCTAGTGTATTGCTGGAACTGCACAGTCAGGCTTTGGAATGTCAGTTTTCAACAGTTTCAACCAACAGTGGTAAAATTTCTGCAAAGATGCAGGGTCAGTAAGTCTAAAGTCTTAGATCTCACCAACTGTAGACTTTGTCAAAACAGAGGTTTGTGTTCTTATTGTGGTTTCTCTTTCTCTAGTCTTTATTATCAAAATTGCCATCTTTCTTTACACTGTTCTCAAAGGGTATCTCACATTGCAGAGTACCAGTTGATTCTTCCTCTTCTCCCTTTGTTCTGGGTTGGCATTTTTTAAACAATTTTTTTCTTTTCTTTATTTTCATCAAAGAAGAATGTTCCATTATGGTTTTTCCATTTGGTCATGGGAAATATCAAGCTGATAGACAATTTTAACAGATTCTTGATATTCTGAGATTATTTATTATCCTTTGGAACATCTTCCCTCTGCATTAAGAATTCAAAGAAGTCATTTTTACTTATTATTTACCTTTCAATTCTTTCTCTATCCTGGTTAGAAAGCATTTTCTTCTTTTCTAGTCAATTTCTTTTTTCTTTCTTATAATTGTTATACATTTTATTTTTTTGAGGCAAATTGCTATTTGTGAAATTTGTACAAATAAGAGTCCCCTTTCATTTGGGGTGAGAGCTAGAAACTCCCACTATTTCTAGAAAAATATTTATATTCACATGATGGCATACAATAGTAGTTTGCATAATGTATTATCCTTTACAAAGTGCTTTCACATACATTATAGTGCTCAATTCTTCAACCACGTCTTATGTTCTTAATATCCTAAGCATTTCATAAAGGCATTGGCACATAGAAGGTGTTCTATAAATGTGTGTGGTTTAATTATGGAATTAGATCATACATGATTATCTTTATTTTATAGCTGAGCAAGCTGAGTCACAGCAATTAAATGACATGCTTGAGGTCACACAGCTAGTTAAGGACAAATCCAAGACTGAAAACTTTAATTTGGTAACCCCAAGACATCACAGCCTTTTTTTCCCCTAAAGAGATTATGAAAACAATTTACATATCTGTTTCACTTGTTTTTTCAATAAATATTTGTTAATGCTTATTGTTTAATAATCTTTTTTATGAGACTCCATCATATTACACAAATGCAGGTATAGTCATCAGTCCTTGTAAAGACCAGCATATTTCTGCTTAGCCTTTACTCTTAGAGCGTAGTCCTTTGGGGATTTGCACTAAAAGTCTGAGTATTTAATATAGACCCTGGGTGGCCCTGAATGCCTGTATTTTTCTTGCAGGTTAGAACAATGCAATTAAAAAGGGTCATGTAATCCTACTATGTGGCAATAGGAGAACATCACAGACAATGCATGCCCACCCTGGGAGTCAGCCTGTTCTGTTTTCTTGGTTGAATACCTTTCCACCTCCTTCACCATCAAATTTTAGAGGAGGTCAATATAGAAGAACTTTACTGTTTATTAAGTAAAATCACTTTCTAATCTATCCTACCATTTAAGTATTTAAACCTAATGTTCCTAAGTGTAACATTCACTGCTTCTTTGGAAGAATGCATAGTTAATAAATCATCATTGCCAATTAGTTGTAGGTTTCAATGGGGCCCTTAATGCATTTTTAAAATTTCTTTGAAGATTATTTCTCTTATTTAAACTGTAATGACCCTTCACTCATGGTTAGCAGCCTGAAAGTATTAAAAGATGAGCACTTGCTGAATTTGTAGAATTTACAGAAAAAAGATAATTAAGGAGAGTAAGAGAAGGCTAAATGGAACTCAACAGTGAGACCATCACCATGTAATATAAAGTAATTTGCTTTCTATGGGTATTCCTCTATGTATTAGAATGTTTGACACGTGTGAATATAATATATATACATCCAGGAAAATGTATAAATGTGAGTAGAAAAAAATTTTATGCGTAAAATTTATATGCATAACCTATAATACAGGTTGAAAAAAACCCAGATGGAATAAAATGCTGATTAAAAACTCTCAAGAAATAATTTTAGGAAAATGTAAAGACAGATGATTTTATATCATAATACTTCCCTGTATTTTAAACACATGAATTAAAATTTTATCTACATGTCTTTATTTAAGGTTCTAATTCATTTGCATCTGTGGAGGTATTTTATTTTTTTAGTAATCTCAAATATAGATGCTCCCAACACATTAATTTTTGTTTAGTTTCCCAGTTGTTAAAAAATGATAAATTGAATTGTTCTCCCTTTATTTATAATGTTCCAATAACAAATGCTGTAATAATAAATAAATAAAGTAGCCAGGCAAAAGGAACAATACCCTAGAGGAAACCTAGGGTTTCTAATTGTAAAAAGAGGAAACCTGTTCTAGTGTTGGCTCTGCCACCGGCTGGTTTTGTTGTCTTTGGACAATTTCTGTGACCTCTCTGGGTGCTTTCTTTTTTCTTTTTTCAATCCTCACTGCCCTTTGTCCCTGATGTGACATTGAGAGTTTGATTTCATATGATAGGTGCCCTGCCCATAGCAGACCATATCCAGTCTGCCTACCCTGATGATCTATGACTAAAAAGTGCCTTTGTCCCTGAGGTTAAAGGCCTAATATATTCCATGTGTCTTCCCCTAACCCAAGGTATAGACTTTCCTTAATCTCTCTCTTTTTTTTCTATTGGTGTCTTATTCCCAAGTTATGTTCAGGCAAGCTCCCTTATCTAGCTGTTGTTCCATGTAAAATCCCCACCATGATCTTGACTACCTTGAGCCCAGTTGCACAGGCTTCTTCAGGCAGGAACCAGCTTCAACGTCTTCTTTTTATGTAGCTCACACTCTAGTTTGTCAATTCAGCAGTGATTAATCTTTAAATCAGAAATCACACTGACTGTGTATGTATTTATGTTGTGTGTGTGTATGTTTTTAAAATTGATATGTTGCCAACATTTAAATATTAGAAGATTTCATAAAATGTATAATAGAGTCGTATTTTTTTTTTCTGGAGGAATCAGAAAGCCCTCGAAGCATTTGGCTTATATGTCCATATGGCAAAAACTGGCTGGAAAATTTGCTCAAGAGTGTTTTCACTCCAGTTTCTCCTTCATTGATTTCTTTTTTCATACCCCAGGCACACGCGAGCTTATAGGAAGTTTGAAACTCCTCTTTTAAAGCAAGGGCAGACTTTATTTATCAATTTCATGCTGTTATTCGTCTCCTTCCAGATTTTCAACAGGGGATGATTGTGGAGACGGGGGCAGGAGGCATGTTAGGAATTGATCTTTCAATTACAGTTCACCTTTGCTTCCATGCTCTCAGGTACATTGCTCAATACCTGGTGCATGGAAGAAAGTTCGGGAACTGTTCCCTAAAAAGGGATTAAAATAACTGTATGAGTTTTTAAATAATATCCAGGAAAGCAAATGGATTATTACATTGCCAAATTTAACTGATAGCCCTTCTATTCAAGTGTAGTCTACAGGCAGCTCAGCATTAATATTTTGGACTTTGTGTTATTTTGATAGTAACAAAAGAGAGCATGACTTTTTAAAATTAGATCCCTACTGAATCATACAGAAACCAGGCCAGATACTTAAGGAAGATAAGTTAGGAAGTTAAGTGTTGAACACAAATAGGAGTGGGTAAAATAGAAAGCTTTGTTGTTGTTTTTCTTTCTTTCTTTCTTTTTTTTGTGGAGTGTTGTTTTTAATATTAATAGTAAGCTGTTAGACATCATATTGCTGATTAGCAAGTGACCAAAAACAGGTTTGGAGTAATTCTCTCCCAGTTAAGCTCTG